GTGTGAGTCTGTGTGTTGTTCCACACTGCTGACCCTTGATTGTTCTCCCTCCCCCATTGGTCCACCATTACAGCACCGTTCCGTATGACATCATCATCCACCAGCCTCTCAGCCAATCAGAACTCCTCTTATTCACTATATAACAGGGAGGCTTTCAGGAAGAAGAGGCCTTTTGTTTGACTTCGGTCCTGCTTGGTTCTGGTTGTTGCGGTGCTTCTGGTTTTTGTTTCAGCTTTGTTGTTTTGCTTTGTGTGTGTGTTTTTTGTACAGCTTTGGCTTTGTTGGTTTCTGTTTTTCTCTTTGTACTCCCGTTTGTCTGTTTGTGTCTATCCTTGTTTTGCCATGACCTTGCCCTTACGTGTTACATGTTCAACCTCGGTGTTCTTTGTGCCCGGTTCTTGTTGATTCCTCTCGTTTTTCCCTTATCTGTATTCCTGGTTCACTTGTTTTTGTGTAGAGGGTGAGTTCAGGTGGTTGGGTACATTCCACACACACGTAGTTGACTCTTGTGTTGGTCACACCAGTTCAGTAGGGGTGAGTGCCGTTTGTCTTGTGTGGTTTTGGGGAGTCAGTGGAGGTGAGCTAGGGTGTTGAGGACCGAGTGTTTCAGGTTTTCTTCTGTAGTCAGGTCAGCTTTCCCTCACGGTCCTGGCCAGCTCCATTTTGTGTGTGATTTTCTTTCCTGTGGCACCACTCTGTCCCTCTCCCTGTGGGTTATTGTGTCTTATTAGTTACCAGTCATTCACCTTAAAACCATCACTTCTGCACCAACCCTCGTTTTCACGCCTCCTAGTCTCTCACCAGAACACACCTGCATCCGAAAGAGTTCTCCTACATGTTACACCCCTGTACCCCTGGACACTGGGGGTCGTAACGGAGTCGGTGTGCGTCTCCAGTGTTGAAACGGAGTCGGTGTGCGTCTCCAGTGTTGAAACGGAGTCGGTGTGCGTCTGTGTCTTTAGGTGTATTAATATCACGAAGTGTGTTTATCACACTCATCAGTCGTGTTCTTAGGGACGCCCTTCAGCTAAATTTAGCGTCTCCTCTCATCCCCGAGGAGAAACCTGAGAGAGAGATGAAGGAATCCGAGAGGGGCTCTCCTCTCTCCTCCCCCTCCTCCCTCTTTCTGTCTCTCTGTCCCCCTGTCCCTCGCCTCTCCTGCCCTGTGTGTCTCTGTCCCTCTCCTGCCCTGTCTCTGTCCGCCTGTTCCTCGCCCCTCCTGCCCTGTCTCTGTCCGCCTGTTCCTCGCCCCTCCTGCCCTGTGTCTCTGTCCCTTGCCTCTCCTGCCCTGCGTCTCTGTCCCCCTGTCTCTGTCCCTCGTCTCTCCTGCCCCATGTCTCTGTCCTCCTGTCGTCTGGTCTGTGCTCCACTCTCTGTCTTGTCTTTCTCACGCCTTTCCTGTGTGTGTCTCTCTCTCTCTCTCTCTCCCGGCCTCTCGGAGACTGAAAGGTCAGGCTGATGGCACCCAGCAGAGGCAGGAGGATGGCCGATCAGCCTGGATAGAGTTTCTGAGCCTCGGTGCTCTGACACCTTCCCTACACAGCGGGCCTGTCTTCCTCCGGACGCGCCCCAGTACACAGCAGCCCTCTCTCTGCAAGAGACGCCAGAACTCTGACTGCCACACAAACACGGCAACGTCTGGGAGCAGCGCTGGCGTGGCCAGAGAGGATGTGTGTCCAGCTGCTGCTGGGTCTGTTTTTGCAGGAGATACTGTGGCTTCTGTCTGCCTGGCACAGATAGCGACTGTGGATGGGTAGGGGGACTGGGTCCACCAGATCAGATAGTCAGA